AAAAAAAAAAAAAAAAAAAACACACACAAAAAAATCTCTATATATTTTATTATTTTTTTATTCATGTCTTTTTAAAAAAAATATATTTTGAATTTTTATTAAAAAAATTATATTATTTTCTTTTTTTTCCTTTTAAAGTCATTTTTTTTTTTACTAATAATATTTTTAAATAACCAGCTTATTTTTTAAAATTACGGCTTTGTCGAATAAAATTTTTACCGAGATAAATATTTGAATTTCTAACCTTTTGGTCGAGGTTATTATCATAATAATAATAATAATAATTTAAAAACTTTTATTACTTATTTTTCTTTAGAAAAATTTTCACGTTGAAACCAAATGGTGGGCTCATCGAGCCCATATCAAATATTGGGCCTACTTTTGCTTAGAAGTTAGAATGGGCTGAACTCGATAAAAGCCCAATTCAGTGTGCAATTACGTGTTTGCCGGTATGGGTCAAAATATCGATATGGATAACCCAAATTTACAGCTGTAATTGTGTATTTTCTTTTTTATGAAACTTTAAAACAAGTCTATTTAAATCATAAGCTATTACTTTTGAACATAATGTTTTTTTTTTTTATGAGCGGAAGAAATCAGGTATGCAACTCTTTATAGATTCGGAACACAAACTTAGATTCGTACGTTCAATTAACATCAGCATAGGATACAACGAGGCAGTCTTCCGTGTATTGGATCCGTTGTTGAGATTACAGGGTTATAGTTCGATATATTCTATATAGTTTTGAAAGTCGTAATATTTGTCCACACATGTCATGAAAGATTTTTTTTGTTAATTTCTCAAGTTTCATGTATCTAGACAAGAAAAATATATGATGCTGTGTCTATTTGGAATCTGGAATCTGTTGAGTTTCAAACCACTTCTCATTTTTTGAAAATAAGAACGAAAGGATTGTGAAATCTCATATTAATTGAAGAGAACGAAACATTTTTTTTATAAGTGTGTGGAAAAATTCAAAAGTAAAAGTAAAAAAAGAACAATATCTGCTAGCAATGAATTTGAACTATCCAATCCTTTGGAGTACTTGCTTTTCTGGGAGTTGTTGTGTCATAACATTTGAGTTATGTAGCATTAGCCTCATGTTGATCCTCGGTTACATTGCCTAAATGACACCTGGCCTCGCAATGATAATCTCAGTTCAATGTTCAATCATTATTGGTACAAATAGATACAAAAATGTTCGATCAATAATGTAAGTGTTCACAAAGTGTATATTCTACCCTCCCACGTACAAAGTCTTTCGACAAAATTATTCTCAAAATATTACTCACAAATACAAAATGACACTCAAACTCAATTAAACTTTTATGCATCTCAACCATCCTACACCACCTTGTATATAGACATAGACGCATTAATATCATACATAAATCAATCATCACCACATAATATTAACCAAATAAATGTTAATAAATTACATGAACTATCATTCTTGACAAATTACAACAATCTTCACATCGTCAAAAGATCTCTAAGCAGCTACTCCAAAGCTTCTATTGAACGAAAGTCCAAATATTTTTTTGCACTTCTACTCCGAAGCTTCTATCAGCACCTCATAAACTATTTAACCGTGTATCAACACCTCATAAATTATCTATATTTTTTGAGTATTTTTTAAAGTTGTACTCGTAATGATACTTTAATTTTTTTAAAAAAAAATCATAAAGGTGTGTTTGAAGTTTTAGAAAAGTTTAAGAATATTAATAAAATTTTTGAAATATCAATTATATTTTCCGAACACTTTTTAATTTTCTTTAGATTATAGACGTTATTGAAGGTTTTGAAATTTTATTAATAGATAGAAGGCCAAATTTATGAATATTTTTATTAATTATAATTAAGATTGCATCAAATTTAATAATATTAAATTCTATTGAACAATTTATTTGATATTAATAACTAATTAAGAACTAGAAATGATTAAAAATATAAATAGTATATGTTATTTAATATAAAAAAAAAATTGAAAATTAAGTTTAAATAAACAAAATGTATTTTGATTAAATTTGAATTTTCAACGAAGAATAAAAAAATATAAACAAAAGATATATTATAAAATGTCAAAAATGTCACGAATCTCATATCTTTCTCCATCAACCATATCCAAATTGCGTTGAGAAACGCGCCAAGTTAACTGCTACCCACGCGGGCCAATCACAACTCGACACGTAGGTTACTTAACGAACACGACCTCAGCTCCTCTTCCTCTTTTAAGTAATCGGCAAACCGACTTCCGGTAGGTCTACTCTGCTTCTCTCTCTACTGGTTTGCGATTGACGGATGGCATCACCGGGAGAACCAAATCGGACGGCGGAGGATGAATCTCAAGCAGCCGCCCGGCGAATCGAACGGCTGTCTTTACACCTGACTCCGATTCCCCTTGATGATTCGCAGGGGGTGGAGATGGAAACGTGCGCGGCGGGGAAAGCGAAGGCGAAAATCGAAGTGGATATGGGGAGTTTATCACTGTATATGAGGGGGAAACACAGGGAGATTCAAGAGCGAGTGTTTGAGTACTTCAATTCGAGGCCTGAATTGCAGACGCCGGTGGGGATCTCCATGGCCGATCATCGGGAGCTCTGTATGAAGCAATTGGTAGGTCTGGTCAGGGAAGCCGGAATTAGGCCGTTTAGGTTTGTTAATGAAGATCCTGCTAAGTATTTCGCTATTATGGAGGCTGTTGGAAGTGTGGATGTCTCTCTCGCCATTAAAATGGGCGTCCAGTTCAGGTCATTATGTTTACTTCTCTCTCGATTATCTCATTCTTACCATTGTTTCTTAAATAAATTTTAGTTTCTTCTTTTTGTTCTTCCCTATTATGACTGTTTTGGGAGGCTGAGAATGGTAATTATCGAATTAGAATCATTGAACTTGACCCACGAATGCTTACTTTCCATTAAATACGGTTTTAGTAATCTATGGATCGATTCTATTTTTGTCCATATGTTTTATAATTTTAATTTTAATTCCTATTTTTGGATTAGAACTTCCAAATCTTAAGAAAAAAGTTCTGCAGATCTTTAAGATAATTGTTTTTGTCATTTTCTTAAGACAATATTAACTGGAATTTCTCTTCCAAAGCTTGAATTTAACTGGAACAAGTAGTTCCTCTCTCGGGTGGGAGACGAAAGTTAAGCTTCTGGGAAGAAAATTTGATGGCCATGAATTTAGTTTTAGCTTCGCTATAGAATGTTCATATGTTGTTACAGCTCAGTAGTAGATATTGTCCTCTCTGTGTTTTTTCTCCTGGACTTCTCCTAAAGGTTTTAAAATGTGTCTACCGTGGATATTGTCCTTTTTGGATTTTTTTTCTAAGGTTTTAAAACACGTGTACTATGGAGAAAATCTAGCTCTACTCCAACTAGTGCCTCGCACATTCCGGTGACTAGCTCTAATATCATTTGTAACAGCCTGACTCCACCACTTGCAGATGTTATCCTCTGTTACAAATGGTATCAGAGTCAGACACCGAGCGGTGTTCCAGTGAGGATGCTTAGCTCCAAAGGGGTGGACACCGGGCGTGTGTGAGCGAGGACGCTAGGCCCCGCAAGGAGTGGATTGTGAGATCCCTCATTGATTGGAGAGGGAGATGAGTGCTAGTGAATATGCTGGGCTCCGAAGGTGGTGAATTGTGAGATCCCATATCGGTTGGAGAACAATGAAGCATACCTTATAAGGGGTGTAGAAATCTTTTCCTAGCATACGCGTTTTAAAAACCTTGAGGGAAAGTCCAACAATATCTGCTAGCGGTAGACTTAGGCTGTTACAGTTGCTGAGTAGAAACAATGATATTTGCGGTAGACTTAGCAGTGTGCCAGTGAGGATGCTTAGTCCCAAAGGGGGTGGACACCGGACGTGTGTCAGCGAGGACGCTAGGCCCCGCGAGAAGTGGATTGTGAGATCTCTCATTGATTGGAGAGGGAAACGAGTGCTAGTGAATATGCTGAGCTCCGAAGGTGGTGGATTGTGAGATCTCATATCGGTTGGAGAGCAATGAAGCATACCTTATAAGGGTGTAGAAACCCTTCCCTAGCAGACACTTTTTAAAAACCTCAAGGGAAAGTCCAACCATATCGGTTAACAGTAGACTTAGGCTGAGTAGAAACAATGAATAGCAGCGTTTTGCGTTGGTCGAAATTTGAATCAGACAACTCCGGCCTCACATTGAGTTCTATTTATGAAAATATTGTCATGTTTCATATTGCAGTCTATGGGGTGGCTCTGTCATCAATTTAGGAACCAAAAAGCACAGAGACAGATTCTTTGATGGTATTGACAATGTGGATTATCCTGGCTGCTTTGCTATGACTGAACTTCATCATGGTAACTCTAATTATGCAGTTCTGTTCAGTAATGTAGCTCTGCATTTTGTTCTAAAATCTCTTCCTTTAATTCTTCCAAGGCTCAAACGTTCAGGGTCTCCAAACAACAGCTACATTCGATCCGATCACGGACGAATTCATTATCAATACACCAAATGACGGAGCCATCAAATGGTGGATTGGCAATGCTGCAGTTCACGGCAAGTTTGCCACGGTTTTCGCTAAGCTCGTGTTGCCAACTCATGATTCTAGAAAGACTGCTGATATGGGCGTCCATGCTTTCATTGTTCCAATAAGAGATCTCAAGTCTCATAAAACACTTCCAGGAATTGAAATCCATGATTGTGGCCACAAGGTAGGCCTCAATGGTGTCGATAATGGAGCGTTGAGATTCCGTTCAGTGAGAATTCCACGAGATAATCTCCTCAATCGATTTGGAGAGGTATCCCGGGACGGGAAGTATAAGAGTAGTCTACCATCTATCAATAAAAGATTTGCAGCAACATTAGGAGAACTTGTAGGTGGAAGAGTTGGGCTAGCATATTCTTCAGCTAGTGTTCTTAAGATTGCTTCCACAATTGCTATTCGTTATTCGCTGTTGCGCCAGCAGTTTGGCCCACCAAAGCAGCCTGAAGTCAGTATTTTGGATTACCAGTCTCAGCAGCACAAGCTTATGCCAATGCTGGCTTCAACTTACGCCTTCCATTTCTCTACTATGCAACTTGTGGAAAAGTATGCACAGATGAAGAAGACTCATGATGAAGAACTAGTTGGAGATGTGCACGCGTTATCGGCAGGCCTCAAGGCTTACGTTACTTCTTACACGGCGAAATCCTTGAGTACCTGCAGGGAAGCCTGTGGCGGCCATGGATACGCTGTCGTCAATCGCTTCGGTACTCTTAGGAACGATCACGACATTTTCCAGACTTTTGAAGGAGACAATACTGTTCTTCTACAACAGGTTTGGCTAACATAATCTATTGCTTGTTGGCCATTGTTTTTCCTTAGATGATGGTATATTTATACGTCAATTCATCCATTCTGGGCTTTTGATACGTTTTAGGTTGCAGCCTACCTCTTGAAGCAATACCAGGAGAAATTTCAAGGTGGGACACTTGCAGTTACATGGAACTACCTGCGAGAGTCGATGAATACATATCTGTCTCAACCGAATCCCGTCACGGCACGGTGGGAAAGTGCAGACCATCTCCGAGATCCTAAGTTTCAGTTAGATGCCTTCCAAGTGAGTATACTAATAGTTGTTTCGTGAAAATGAAAATGTTTCCAATTTTCGAATGCAAATAATCCTTTTTCTTCATGGTGTTCATGTCACAGTATCGAACGTCTCGATTACTTCAAAGTGTAGCTGTTCGTCTCCGGAAACATACTAAAAACCTTGGAAGCTTTGGTGCATGGAATAGATGCCTGAATCACCTCTTGACTCTTGCAGAATCCCACATTGAATCTGTAATCCTCGCTCAGTTTATCGAATCTGTACAAAGGTTCATTTCATTCCAACACCTGCACTTACTTCATATTGTTTTCTGTTCTGAAGTTTTAACAATATTTTCGTTTGCATCAGATGTCCCAATGCAAATACACAGGCTACTCTGAAACTCGTATGCGACCTTTACGCCTTGGATCGAATCTGGAATGACATCGGAACATACCGAAATGTCGACTACGTAGCTCCCAACAAAGCAAAGGTAATTTTAGCTAGCATTACACCATCATATAACTCTTTCAGTCAAGTTGAGTTCTTGTGAATTTTCCTTCTGCCCTGCAGGCTATCCACAAGCTCACTGAATATCTATGTTTTCAAGTGAGAAACATCGCACAAGAACTGGTCGATGCATTCGATCTTCCAGATCATGTAACTCGGGCACCCATCGCAATGAAGTCGAATGCTTACTCCCAGTACACGCAGTACATCGGATTCTGATAGCCAACCAGTACAAAATTGCATTCAAACTTGGACCACTGGTGAGTGGTTAGCTACCAAAACCTCATATCAGTATTGTGATCACTGATAAAAACTATTGGCTGTGTCAATTCTATACCAATTGTCATGTTGTCTTTGTTCTTTTCTTCTCTATGTATTGGAAAAGATCGAGACAACTAAATTGTCAATAATAAGTTATATGGATGTTTACAGGAAGAAATGAATTATCATTACTCAATACTTGCAATTAATGTGTTAAATTTTCGTTAACATGTTCATAGATTCATTAACGAGCACGATCCAATGTGCCGTTTGTCCTCAATGGATTAAATTTTACCTCAGATCACAAAGATGAAGAGAAAAAAACTGACTTTCAAGGGATCAACAAGACCTGCAGCCAAACTTGAGAAATATTTGTACTTCCCCATAATTACATGGTTAATATCTAACAGGCTTGTAATTCAAATATGTTGTACCTGCAGCCTCGCTTTTCTGTCTAACATCTTCATACATTTTGAGCGAAGCTTCGGAAAATTTCGTTAGCCGATCCAGAATTTTCGTTAAACTTGAATGTATGCAACTTAAGTTTGAAGAGGAAGTACTGTTGTTATCGTTGTTGTCGTTCCCTTCTGGTTCTTCCCCAGTGTTTGGTTTAACAAGCTTCTGTTTCCTCTGTAGTTCGGCTTGTTCGGATATCGAACAGTTGAGTTCTTCCAAGAAGACTCTGATGGCGTTGCTTAGTTCATTAGATGGAAGGTTGTTGATTCCTGTTAACCAATCTCGACATAGGACGAAAATAGGTGGGGCAACGACACGGCGAGGAGAGAATGGCCTTCTGCTCTTTGAGCGTTCCTGTGGTTGTTGAATGCAATGTTGTAGCCAGCCATTCAAAGCTCCAACATATGATGCAAGGCTGTTGATCCAGTTTGCAAAGCTTAGGCCAAAACATTCCATCTCTTGTTGGAGTTGGACTAATATCTGCCTTTGTGCGTCTGCTCGAGGTGTACCCATGGCTGCACTCTTCGAGTGATATGCCAACGATATCGTTATGTACTGTGCGTGATGGCATTCAAGCATCGACTTCCACATCCTGATCAACCTGCACTGAAACTAAAATTATCGACGAAACAGCAAGTGAACAGCATCACATTATCGTTTGTAACAGCTAAGTCCACCGCTAATATCTGCCGCTTTGGCCCGTTATATATTGTCATCGGTCTCATGGTTTTAAAACGTGTCTACTAAGGAGAGGTTTCCACACTCTTATAAGGAATGTTTCGTTCATCTCTCCAACCGATGTGAAATCTCACAATCCACCCCCTTGGGGGACAGCGTCTCGCTGGCACACTGCTCAGCGTCGGCCTCTGATACCATTTGTAACAGTCCAAACCCACCACTAGTAGATATTATCTATTTCGGCGATACGTCTCACAATTATAAAACGCATTTGTTAGGGGGAGGTTTCCACACCCTTATAAGGAATGTTTCATTCCCCTTTCCAACCGAGGTGGAATCTAACATCGTTTGATTGTGAAGATAAAAATAACATTCTTCTTACCCCTGAACAAGTTCAATGAGTTGTGGTTGCATCTCTTCATCTCTCATTTTCTCAACACGTTTCGATATCGAATCAACAGAATAGATTGCAACCCGTATTCGGGAGTGTAGATCCTTGACAACTGCCCTCATCTTGTCGATGACTTGTGTACTGTAATCCTTCGCAAATAGATATCTAAGTTGATCACACTTACGATCGTACTCCTTCCGAATGGATTCGCTAGCCTGAAAAGACAAACAAAACTCATTCAAAATGAGGTTACCATGATCAGCTCAAGATATCATCTTTATCAGAAACTCTACATATTTGAGTATCTGTATCTGATATTTCTTCTCCACAGGACATACCTTGACTTCATCATAGAGCTTTCTCTCCCACGCGTAAAGTCGGTCCAAGGTAGACGAATGGCTTCCAGAGATCATACAGAACTCTTCTACAAATTCGCTTCCACTGTCATCAACATCATCATTTGCAGCAAGAGGACTCCGTGACGAAGACGATCGAGACCATGTCGATCGTTTCCACGTAATCACTTTTTTCTTATGTGGCTCTGTATATTCATTAGAACTCTCTTAAGAATCAGCTACAGGAAGATTAACAAGGAAATGGCTATCTCAGCATATTCAATCAAAGGGTTCAAATTACCATGAGATAAAAGGGCAGGCTTTGCAGGACAGAAAACGAGTCGTAATCGACGCAACGGGTCGAAAAAAGCAAAACCAGATACACTTCCTGCAAAAGTTGAGATACGACAATGAAAATAATGAACAACTCGAGAAAATTACACAAATCATCGATGTTTTCTCGTAAATGTACCATTTTCTTCGAGGTATCGAACTCTGATTTTATTGACCTCGAGCATTCTCGAGACCTCCCTCCCGGAATCTGAAGCTCTCTGAAACCGATTGTCGATTTCCTTAATGCTGGAAAGAAAGTCTTTAGCTCTATGAGTAATGAACTCTGAGGGATCTTCTTGTTCAGTGCACAAACTCTTCTCCAACTTAACCATCCCTCTTGAACCAGATTGCTCGAGCAGAACTTCGCAAGACAAACTCGTCGAATTAAGCTCTTTATCGTCCCGTCTCGCCATCTCCGAAGTTCGTTCTTCAATGGGTTCAGATGAACTCAAATGGTCACCATTTTCACAAGCTTTTTGCCCTGTTTCTGGTTTTGAAATCCCTTCCTGAGATTCATCATTGGCGTCTGTCATTGCTCCCTTGAATTGCTTCCACATTCTCTCATTCTCAATGTTCACTTCCATCCCACCAGTCCCCAGGAAACTGAAGCTATCAATTTCATCATTGGTGTCAAAATAATCCCAAGAAGATCCCAAATCATGAGGCGGTGGTGGCGGCGGCGGAGGCAACGGCGAAGCAACAGATTCTTCATAGACAGAACTATGGCTACTCGGCTGGACTTTGACAGTAAGAGGGATACTACCTCCGGCGACCATGTAACTAATGGTGGGTATTGGCGGCGTAATGGGGCATTCTCGCAATGGAGACTCGGAAGCATCGGCGGTCTGCGATGGGCACGGCGATGGATAAGAGAAATGCGACGGTGTTTTGTCGAGCTCGGTGGCCGACGTAGACAGAGACGACTCGATCAACACCTCAGCCTCGGCGTATCGCCGGAGAGAAACGCCGACGTTTTTTAGGGCCTGAACGTAACAGACATGGGCGGCGGCTAGAGCGTACCTCGAATCGATAGCCTGTTTGATGAATCGCTTTCGTTCCTTACAAAGGCGTAGGGCTTCGTCATTCTCGATTTTGGAGTTCGAACCACCCATTTTTCGCCAAAAATTTCAACAACCCAGTTCATGAAATCGATGTCGGAGCCATAAAATTTTGATTATCAGAACACCCACTTCGGAATCAATGGTCTTCCACCTCGATTTCCAGAAGAAACTCTTCCGCGAAAACAGAGCAGCCTGTTCTCTACGAGCAACGCGAAAACCCCAACGTAATCAAGAACCCACCAGAGGAAAGAGTGTTCGTAGAGAAAGGAACAAGACCCACAAAATGGAATGAGCTGGAGAAGTCGGAGATACCTTCACATTACTACATTCAAGAGTAGGAAAAAACAGAGGATTAGCTTGTTTTCCAATGAGCAGTGACTGAGAACTCACAAAATCAAACCCATCAACGGAAAACAAAGATAACCCATCTTCAAAGATCCTCTAGAACAAAAAATTTTGCAGAGATTCAGAGGAAAATGCAGTAACGATGAAGCAAAAATAGAGATCGATCAAAAACCTAAGAACGGAAGAAAACAAGAACAGGGCAAGAAGATCCTCGAAACATGTGTAGATTTCACCAAAACAAAAAACAGAGGAAATTAGAAAACATTCATACTTCACCGTTCAATTAAACAATTACAATGGCCATTCCTCCTCATGGGTACGACAAAAAACCAGAGAAAATATTTTGGAATTAAGAACTAAAGCAAAGCAAAAACATATCACATTACACAAAACAGAGGAAACTGGTGTCAGAAGAGAGAATAGCTGCATTTATTGGAAAAGGTGAGGAGATGACAGAATTGCCTGATTTTCACAAGAGAAAGTGCAACGGCTCCATAAAACCCGGTTTTTAGGGAACTGGCGTTTTGTTGTGTAGCAACTTTTGCCAGCTAACACACCATTTTTACACTAATGGAGCTCCGCAACTGCTACTGTTAGTGGAATGAGAGAGACGACCCGTTTCTTCTTGCTTTGTGTTCTTGAACAAAGCTGATTGAATTTTGAACATTCTTTTTCTGCTTTTGATTATTGTATAAAAAGTTCTGTTCTTCAAAAGTTGTAAAGATATTTGATTAGTCTGGAAGTTCACACTATAAATTGAGTAAGGCAGCGAATCTTATGGTACAGGATGACAACTTAGTGACATGTAAAGGAATAATCATCTTTCTAACTTTTTGGTACATTTTTCTTCCTTCTCAAGAACAACAAGAGTGAAGACTATACCCGTGCCAACCCAGTTTTTCATCATATTTTGTCCTCATTCAAAGCATTTCTAAAACGTCATTCAACATAGAACTGCTTCAAACATGGAGTTCTTATAATTGAACGACCATAGCAATTTGTCTGGTATAATTAATGACTTTCCATTCTTTTAATTTTTTCGTAGTTATCATATTTTCTTGTTCTCTCAATAATTTCGGTTCATTTACGTATCTCTCTTATCTAAATTATTTAGATATGATACATTCATATAGACAGAAAAATCCAAAATTATTTATTGAGGAAAGACATTATTATAGTTAAAGATATATATTTTGCTATGCACGTGAAAAAAAGGGAAGAAATTAGCGAAGACAATACAACTTTTTTTGTACTGGTCTTTTCATTTATTTAAAAATGTTGTTTAAACAGAGAGAAGGAAACTAAAAGATGTTACTCGCAATACATAGGGCGCAGAGGTTAGTCATGTCGTGCTTGCCATGCATCTACGACCTACCGAATGTTGTTTGTTTTAATCTATGTATTGAGTTTTCCATCTTAAATTATGAGATTCCACGTTGATTCCTCCGAGAGTTCCTCCTTTATTGGGAGCGCACATTATGTGGAGGGTCATAACACATCTACCCAAAGTTCCTCTTTTGTTTCGATCTCGAGCCTGACAGCGGGAACCTTCTATCCTACAACCATGCTTTCATCAATCTACTCGACAATTCTCAGC